CCTCGCCTTTATCCAGGTCTTTCAGCAGGTCAGCCTGGTATGCCTGGAGCACCGCCATCGTGTGCAGCGAAGCAACAGCCTGACCTGCTGCTGCGTATGCCCTGCCATTCAAGCGAGATGTATCCTGAAGGGGCTTAGATGGTCAGGAGGGAGTCTTAAGAGAGGATGTCTCACCATAGAGAGATCGCTAGCCAGCGTCTCTTCTACGGGGGGCATCTTCTCATAGCCTTTATCGCGCATCGCCTCGATGTTGGCATGACTCGTATGCTGGAATCGATGGATGCGTGAGGAAAACGGCCTCTTCCATTCCTTCTCGATCTCTGTATGGAGTAGTATTCGCGCGGTGTAGACATGGCTGTCTGTGTGCATGCGCTTCAGATGTGTGCGCAGAAAACTTCTCACACAGCGCTCGACTGTTCCGCAAACAATTCCGAGCGTCTTTTATGCTCACCTTGTGCCTTCGGGCAGTCCTTATATTGAGTCCTGATACGTGAGTTTGAATGATAATGCACACGTTGGCGGTAATGCATAGACGGACATTATTTGAAAATGTGGACAGTGCCAAAATAAAGGTGCCTATTTATACTACAGATATCGATATTTTACGCGTGGCATCGATGCATCGTATCGTCAGACATCGTTTCGATTAGGGCTGCACGATAAATCGCATGCGATATTTAATGCGCATCTTGTCAGAAAGCCGGTTCTGTAATCAGCGGTAAATCTCCATCACCTGCGTGCTTTCACATTGAGCAGCATTAACTACACAGAGCTGTTGTTCACTGATGAGCTGCGCAAAAAATCGCGCGAATATGAACGTGGTTTTGCGCAGCTCGTCAGTGAACAACGGCTCTGTGTAGTTAATGCTGCTCAATGTGAAAGCCTGCAGGTGATGGAGATTTACCGCTGATTACAGAACCGGCTTTACTGATAAGTTGCGCGTTAAATAGCGCATGCGATTTATCGTGCAGCCCTAGTTTCGATCCATATCGATGAATCATTATACCCCTATAATTAACTTCCTCAACCTACGCAGAATGAGGACAAATTATAAGGATCAGCTGATGTGGGAATAGCGGTTCCGCCACGTTTCAACCATTTAAAGGATACAGCCACATTATGAGTCAGTCTAAGTGTAGAAGAAATGGCTGAGAGGTTTGGGCAGAAACTGAAAGAAAAAAAAAAGTTACATAATACAATATAATTAAAATACATATTATAATCCATATGCATTTAAATACAAATTTATTATCTTTATAGAAGAAATTCATTCTAAATAAATTTTGCAACATAATGACAAGTTAACTGACTTGACCCTCAAAAAGAAGAATCTTTTTAAAATAAAGAGACTCAATTCTAAATTCTCCAAATAAATGAAAGAGAATGTCACATGAGTAAATAGAGAAGTGAAACCTACGTCATGGCCAAAGACTCAGCTCTATGGATAGTGTTATGACATCAGAAAGGAATATACACGTCTCTAAATATACACGTCTGCAATTATTGTTTTTAAATTTTAAACAGAACTAATTTTAATTGCTTCACAGTCCTAATGATCAATTTAACGGCATAGTGCAAATGGAATACAATGTGAACCTTCAAACACACCAAATCATATTCACGTCTTTTTGTGGGTTTTACAAATATTTAACCAATGAACAGCATTCAAAAGAGCTTGTGACTAAACCTGGTAATGCCATTGGTTCCTCAAACTGTCAGCGAAACCCAGACTCCATTCAAAATACAGTGCCATGCACAGTCTGGAGACAGATCTCTGCTTGCTTGCAGTGCAAGGGTAAATAAAGAACTGTTGTCTGAATAAGTATAGTGTTTTCTTTATTCAAGAAACACTATGTCTATAAAGACTAATGTTTTTTTGTGTGTGTTTGAAGAGTGGAGAAGAGTCTTAGCATTTACAGTCTAGGTGTAGCTAATATACTGTTTTATATATCCTGTACATAGCGCTTCATCTCTTATATCATGAGATTTTGACCAAATGTATTCAACAACTAAAAAAAACTGACCGCCCATATAGCTACAATAAACTTTATAACCTGGAAGTTGATGAAAATGTAATGCGATGCACTTACTGCCTCAGATGCAGCCGTATATGACGGACAAAACGTCTCCGGTTACCTAACGTAACCTCGGCTCCCTGACAGGAGGAAACGAGACATTGCGTCATCGAAGATGTCGCTTTGGGGTTATCCCCTCTTCCTCGAATCTACTGAAGCCTTATGAAATCTCACGGGCGAGAATTCACCTGCCAATGGCGTTCAAGCGTGTGAAATAGAGGCAGGCGTGAAATAAGGTGGCGCTGTACGCCATTGCCTCAGAATCTTTGGACTGAAGCAGAGTGCAGCTGACAAAGACTCTGAGCTATGTAACATGGCAACGTACGCAATGTCTCGTTCCCTCCTCTCAGGGAACTGAAGTCACGTTAGGTAACCGGAGACGTTCACTCTCGAGTCGGTCTCTCGACACTGCGTCATCGAAGGTGTCGCTTTGGGGATCTGATAAAATCCCGCTGTGTTGATAGCGAAGGTCCAGATCAGCTGCAAGCAAAGCCGTTGACCTCAGCTAAATGTACTTCACTCAACGGAAGACCTCACAAGCTCAGTGGCATAGCAGCTATAAGAGCAAGTTGCACAAGCATTAGACTACTGCAAACACATCACAGAGTAAAGGACAGCGGTCCCGCCTGCATACTGGATTAACCATGCACTCACTGCCAGCATTCATGCGATGGCACAATCGCCAAGCAATGTTTACCCCAGGATATGTGACATCCACGGTGTGAGCACCGTACCGTCACAGTGTGCTGGTGGCCAAATAATGCATGCGGCAGCAACACAGACATTATTGCATAATGTTGCAACCGGTGGCAAGCCTGATCGTGCGGTTAATGGTGGCGGTCGTGCCAATACCTAGTAATGATAGGTATTCCCACAATTTCAGTTCAAGTTGTAGACATAATCGTCTTGCAAAGGCAAACTCGCGATGCGAGTGAGGAAACATTCAAATCACAGAACTGACTAAAGTGCCCAGCACGAGTTGATCACGTAGAAGGGCGAGAGGTGATCAGCCTTCTTGTGCCACTCAAAATTCTTATTGACAGGACATTCTGCCGGGCGACTATAACTATGATGGAGTCATGCCGTTATAGCGGTATAACAAACTTAAAACAAGGAGGGCATACAGTCGCTGTCCAAGTACTCCAGCAAAAAGTCAAGGCAACTAACGGGCTATCTGATCATAAAGTAGATATATTCAGGCCCACATATATAATCCAGTCCCCTGGCCAAACCTGGACGAGGGCCTGTCTCAATGCGCTCACTTGAATGCACGTTTCAATATATATATTATGACTTAATGTCATAGCATAGCAAAACGTTCTGGACGCAAAGGCCATTACAGTTCCTGTCGCCCATATTGAGCGGAGGACGTGAGAACAGACATAAGAGAGCTGACAGTCTCGCTATCGTCACCTTATGAGTGAGAGCAAAGCAAAGCACTCTCTCCAAAGCCATCAGCCTGAGTGCTTCCTGGGAACTCTTAAAGGTAGAAACTTCTCGGCTCGAAATTAACAGAAGTATAAGTTACCAACTGTGAGCACCCCTGTGAAATGTGAGCTTGCATCACAGCAAAGCCCAGTTGCACTCTCTGGGTGGTTGAGAAGCAGAAGTCAGTGATGGTTTAATACAATCCCTGAATGGAATATAATCAGTCAATTGTCCAGATCCATTCAGCGCGCAAGCTCCACTCATTTAGAGGGGAGAGAGCCGCATTTGAACATTTCATGAATGTACACATTCAAGCAATGCTGGACTATTGAAAACGTAGTAATAAGCAACAAGCGTATTGGTGCATACAACATTAAACCAAATCTTACGAGTGACATATATTCACAGCATCCAGCATTAATCTGCGGGAAGAACCAAGTTCATATAAGCACAAAAACAGGGCAGATTGCTACAATTGTAGTGCCTGAATACTACTGAAATAATAGAACACAGAAAGCGGTGTCATGAAGGCATCAGTTTTGCATATGCAGTAGCTATTACTGTGAGTAATGGCACTGCACATCGGCCTATACAAACTAGTTGAAACACGTGCCAGAGAGGGGCGTGGCCACGAAATCTCTCAGTCATTCAATGGCTGCTCAGCAGTCTTCCACTGCACAGACAGAACATGCGGTGTGAAAAAGGGGAATTTTCAGGTTATAAAACCTAGCCAAAGCATTTTGCGAGGACCAACCCACCGCAAAACAAATACCCCGTATAGACATGCCTTAGTTCAAGTCCAAGATGAAGCCAGACTCCATGTGGAGTGGAGACTAATCTAATCGGGCAGTCGACTCTATGAAGCAACATCAGAAACACTCGTGATGCTCTGAACATAGAGGCAGAGCATCACGAGTGCCCGCCTCTATTTCACGTGCTTGAACGCCATTGGCGGGCGAATTCTTGTCCACGAGATTTCACAAGGCTTCAGTAGATTCCCCAATCTACTAGATAACCCCAAAGTGTCATCTTTGATGATATAGTGTCGAAAGACCAACTCGAGAGGGAACACATATTGCCATCAGTTGCTGGTCAAAAACATTGTAACTCCATTTGAGCTTGATTTTACATAAAATGTTAATATTATAATGGCACATGCAAGTGTCTGATCATATATAACCACAATACCAACTATAACGATGCAGCATTTATATTATAAAAAAAAAGGAAATGTTTTTAGTTTTACATTTCCTGAAAGTGGTAGTGGTTTTGGACATAGGTTTCCGCCCAATAGCGAAGATATATAAATTTGTTGTTTTATCATCACCAACAACATAAAGCTACCTGACCGTCTGTTCATACCTGACTTAAGCTCAAGTTTCACATTAAATATGAGTACTACTTTTAATATAATATCCAGTTTTAATATGCTATTTGAAGCAATGCATGTTTGTGCAACTTTGCTATAATTCAGTGCTTAGTGGTGAGCCGTGGGTTTTTTGCTCATCAAAACTGTGCCGTGGCTAAAAAAAGGTTGGGAAACACCACCTTAGAATTATCTCAAATACACCACTCACAAGTCTGATGCAATCAGCCCAAGAACAAGGAACAGAACAAACAGCCAGAGGACCTGACGGGAAGAAAAAAGAAGAGGGAAGGAAAGAGAAAACGTGAGAGGTTAAAGTCCATACAACATACAAAACCAAGGAGTTAATAAAATGCACAAGTTACAACCAATATAACATCAGATTACACAGCCTGGACGATGCATTATCATTAGTTTCAGCTGCATATTTAAACAATATATCACGCTCCACAAATAAATTTACACAACACTCAATACTCTGATATGCAAACAGTTTAAAAAGTAAACTGAGTTTGGTAACTGAGCTAAATGTGTCCTTACATAGAGTGTGATGGCTAGGGGCAGCAGATTAGGTGGGAACAGGCAAAAGGTGACCACAGGGTATTTGATGAACCCTTCATCTGAAGCACAGTCCGGTGTATTTTTCACAAACTCACATCTCTGACTGGCAGACAGGTTCATCACCACATCACACTGCAACACAGACCAACAAATGCAGCTGTGAAGGATTCACTGCCAACAGTTAGACAGCACCACATAGATCGATTTTATAGTTTACTCATGGTCATCGTAAGGAAAAAGAGAGCAAATGTATTTTTCACATTAATGAGTCATGACTCATTATTGTGCACACTCAGTAACTTCCTATACATCAGAACACTGGATGAATGGAGTGTAGTGATTTGAGTCATAAGCGATCACGACTGACAGGACAGGTAATCTAAACATTGCGTGAGCACATATTTCAGTTTCGTCCAACTCACCTCGTCTCCATTGCGGTTCGGTGTGCCTTCTGCAGGTCTGTCTGAACGCCAGACATTCCTATGAGGGACGAGGTGTGTGTTTGACTGGTAAACAGTTTTCTGGCAGCTGACACGATCCCATTGCAGAGCAACGGTGCAAAACAACACTAAGAGAAGAGCACGCATTTGGGCTGATTCTGCTTCAACATTGCTTTTCAACGTTCAACTAGTAGCTGAATTGTGGTAGATCGACGGCAACTTTAGAGGTTCCGTTGCGCTCTTTTCCTTCATTGTTGATAAACTCCATGTATTTAGACGCTGTGAATCACAATCTGTGGTTTGACCTAAATCACGCAGGATTACGCATTCTGTCACGAGTGAGACGACTAAATGAGAAGTGTGTCAGCCTGTCAGATCATTCCAATACTTCCTATACAAACAGCGTGACGAGCTTTCTTATCCGCCCTCCCTCTGTCCTGAGGTTAAAGAGACATTTCACTCTTTTCAATTTAAAGGGGTCATATGACGTTGCTAAAAATAACATTATTTGATGTGTTTGGTGCAATGCAATGTGCTTATGTGGTTTAAGGTTCAAAAAACACATTATTTTCCACATACTGTACATTATTGTTGCTCCGCTATGCCCCACCTTTCTGAAATGCATCACCATTTGTTATGCAAATCTTCCTACACAGTGACGTAGACATGTGGGGGCGAGTTTAAACAAGGCGTTTTAGGAGGGCGTGGACGAGTCTTAACTTTTATAAAGAATATCTCTTTGGGTTTGAGACTTTAGTCTTTGCAACTTTAGGGATCTTATCTATTCACGAACAGCTTGTAACTCCAAAGAGAAAGAAAAGCTTGAAATCGCATCATATGACCCCTTTAAAGGGATAAGGTTAGTTCATCCAAAAACGAAAATTCCGAAATCATTCACTTTCCCTCATGTCGTTTCAAAACCAAGACTTTCGTTCGTTTTCGAAACGGAGCCTCTGGGACATGGTGATGGAAATACCTCATGTGAGGAGTTATTTTTTTAATTCTCTCGCAAAACTATTGCGTTCTCAGAGAATCTTTGCGTTACTTAAAAAATAAGAATATAAATGTGTGAATATTACGTTTTTGTGCGTAAAAAGTGCCTGTACACAAACATGCCTGCTCTCACCCACACATACACACATACAACATAAACACACAAATATGAAAGCATGTTACACACATTTAAACACAAATATGAAAGCATGTGTTTTACACACACACACACACACACACACACACACACACAAGCACACAGTGAGATACAAACACAGTACACACACACAAGCAGGCACATCATAGATAAAATCATGGCATTTTTATACTACACAGTGCATTGTACTTCTGTGGAAGTGATTCAATTCTTTGTTCTTGTCATTCTTTTGTAGTGTTTTAATTGTTTAAATTTGTAATTCTGTTGGACTGCTTTAATAAATCTTCAAATTTATGTTTCTGTTGAAGTGTCTTAATTCAGCAAACGTTAAGTGTTTATGAGTTCACTATCAATAACACTATCCACTATGTCAAATTCTGAGGATTTTCTATTGCAAAAGATTATTTGTACAATGTCCTGCTGTAGGAAATTGTATTTTGTAAGCACAGACTAGATAAAAATGTATGCCCCACTTTACCAGACGCAGCGTCCCAATTTACCTGAAAAGCCCGAAAAAGGAAAATGAGTACTTAACATTTTTCAATCTTTTTATGTTTAAAACAACAACCAATATTCTTTCAAAAAACATAGTGGGCGATACAAGAGACTTTGAGAATTTGTTTAAATTGCATTATGGTCGAATAGATTTATTTTTTTATCAAAAAAGTGTCCCACTTTTGCTGACTTCACCCTATTTGTAATGTCATGTAACCAAAACTGTTGGTCAATGACATTTTAAACAGTAGCCTATTAGACTATGTGTCTTTTTTATTTACTTTTTTTCCCTCCTTGAAAGTGTTTTTAAGACGGCACTGTTTTAAAAAATATGAGTTTTGTTTTGGGTTAAATTAGATAAAGAAAAAACTGTTGCAAAATTGCTAAATTTTCAAAGTACATACAAATACATCCCCTTCTGAAAAAACATCTTAAACCAGCCAAGGGTTTGCTAGGCTTAGCCCTAAGCTTGTGTCCCAGCCTGACCAGTGGAAAAGTTCCCATAAACCCTCTAAAACCAGCCAACAGACCAGCCGGACCAGACTGGGAGACAAACTTAGAGACCAGCAAAACCGTATGATTTGACCTTCTTAAAAAGCCTGGCCAGCAAGTCAGGAGGCTGAAATGTGAATATATTCATGTGAGAGCAACCTTCTGACACTCGGTAAAGTTTGATGATCCAGGTGTATTCCTCCACCCCACTTGCTTTGACCTTTATAAAAGCCTTACTTGTAAGCTAGAAGACATCAGTATGTATATCTGAGAGCAGCCTTTTGACATTCTCTGAAGTTTCATTAGGCTATGTCAAAATCATTTGGAGTTCAACTATGATATTGGTCTGGGCTCTGTGAATAGTATGAATAATATAGATGTCGACCACTGGGCTCACTGTCTCATGTAATTTGTAAACAATAACGGACTACAATTTGCAAGTAATCTACCCAACACTATTTGGGGTATGTAATAATTTTTGATTACTAAATATGATAGGAATTAAGACCAAATGTTTCAGGTCAAATACTTTGATGGAAAATTTATAAATTACTTCCTAAAATGTTAGAAGGAAGCAGTGACCTTCTTGTTTGATAGCACCTGTCTGATAATCAGCATGCACATTTCCTGTGCTACAGTTCAGAGGTGGTAGTTTTTACCCATATTTAGGTATCATTTAATTGCTTTAAATAAATGTTGAAATATTGCTACAGTTGTTCCTTGAGGGTTAGGATTGTGACATTTGTTGAAATGTCATGTTGTCTCATGGCAAGTTTCGGCACTGAGAAACATTTGTGGTCATATCAGAACATCTGTCAACCTGCCTAGAATAGCTGAGCTGAGCTAAAGAAAGAGTGTGTACAAAAAAGTATATATTGTCTCATCTTCTTTTATAAGAATCTGCATGTTTGGGGGATCTGGTTTCTCACGCATTCAGTCATTGCAAATGAGAAGGGTCATGTCTCCGATCAAACAGCTGATGAAACAAACCGGGGGCCAGCTGCTTTAATACAGCCACTATGTTAAGACTGTGTCTAAAGTAGTCTGACCAACTAGCAATTAACGTAGGGGTAATCTGTTTTACTTTTCAGATTCAAATTAGACCAATCTAGAATTCAGGTAACTGATTTAAAAAGTTATGACCAGTCTTAAAAAAAACATTTGATGGGTCACTTGTAAGTTTATGCAATCGGACACTTTTCTCGATTACAGATTGAGCTATTATTTCTATTAAAGATTAATAGTGCTGAAGTCCGATGAATGTTGGTGTTTCTGCAGCTACAGAAGTAATTTTTTTCATCACTGTAAATATGAGGTACATGTATTTGTTATGCTGGAACATGTTTTTTTTTTTTTTTTGATGAAGGCTGTAGCATTTGACAACTGCTGGTATTGGTTTTTGAAGGAATGAGCACAACACAAATATTCTTATTTATTCAGGAATTCGATTTTTGCTCTAGTCAAGATGCTACTTTCATGTACAGTATCTAAACGGCCAAAAGTAGCTTGTCAAAAATGCATTATATACTTCACACCATCTAAGTTTGTGTCTCTATATGTTCCTCTGAGCTCTATAGCTGGGGCTGAAGGATTTAATATGGAAGCGTCAATGGGTAAAATTGGTTTGACGTCATGTCTTAACTATTTCAGGATTGTTTCTATCAGGGTTGGACTGGCAGCACCAATTGGGGTCTCAAATTGGGATCATTCATAGAGACACAGCTAACATCAAACCCACCACACACACACTCATGCAAACACATGTTATAATTAATAATTTAATTTAATTTAATTAAACATGTTGATGCCAGCTTTGACACCATCCTCTTCCCCCTTGGAATAAGAAGCCCCCTGGGACACAAACTTTCTAGCCCTCGGAAACTGTCTACTAAATGAAAGGTCAGGCAGGCTTGATGGATAGAGTTTCTCCTGAGGATGACTAGTATGTATTTGGCTCATGTCGTGAATTTTATGCAAATGCTGCACTGCAGTGGTGTTTAAAATATATTGCTTATAGATGGAAGTAGTAGAATATAGTAGCATATGGACCTTTAAGACAACAGCAGTTGCGGTTAATACAGATTCATTGTGTACATGACAAATTCTGTAAATTCTAGATATGTAGGAATGATTTACTTTTGCTCTGTGAACTCCAAACACTTGACTGTTGTGAAAAACAATTGGATATAAACTGTTCAGAATGTGGTTCCGGTGTTGACAATTTTTATATATATTTTTTTTCTTCATGAAAGATCTTACACCAAACTGGCTGTTTATCATTCATTCCTTACATATTTAAATCTTTTAAATTACTTTTACTTCAAAATTGTTCAAATCATAATTTTAATTATAAGTTTACATTATACAGGACCAAAATTCTGTCATTGTTTTCTAACCAAAACATTGTCAGTGTGCTCTGAGAAAAAAACTAAACAATTAAAAACAATTAATTAATGAATGAAATAAAGTATATTTATCCTACTATATCAAAATGATACTGACCCACTAATACAGACTGTTATTCATTTTGATTGTTTAAGTAGATGTGTGTTTTTGGTTGAATGTTTTGTCTCCTATAGTGATTTATGCTTTTCAGAGTGCAGTAACTCATTAGGACACTGAGTAAAGTAAATAAGCAATAAAATAAGAAAAACAATCTTGAAAGCAAGGGTTATTTATATGAGTGAGGTTGGGAGGGGTAATATTGGCTTTCAACAGCATGAAGTCTCATTGGTCTGCACTGGACTCTAATTCCATAAAGAGTTAAAGGGTTTCGCTGAGCCATCACAGAATGCTATCAAAACCATCTTTCAGTACAGAGGCCGCCCGCAGCTCCTGGTCTGTCCTGTTACCCAGATTTTCTTAAAGGTGAGATGTTTCTGACCTGTTACACATGCTATATAATTTCTGGATGTGTTTTAAGATGACAGTATACATTTTTACAAAATTTTATGAGTTAAACAAAGAGATGAGTTCACCCACATAATCGTAGAAGATTTCTTACAAAACAAATTGTGAGAAATCTTCTACCATTATGTGTGCAAAGTCCTCTTTTTGTCGAACTTTGGTATGTTTTTTGAGCTTACACACCAAAGTAATTCTTAATTTTTACAAAAGCTTAAAAGACACTTTGTTTTAATTTCAATAAGGCAATATATATATATATATATATATATATATATATTAATGACTATATATTAAAACAAAGTGTCTTTTAAGCTTTTGTAAAAATTAAGAATTACTTTGGTGTGTAAGCTCAAAAAACATACCAAAGTTCGACAAAAAGAGGACTTTGCACACATAATGGTAGAAGATTTCTCACAATTTGTTTTGTAAGAAATCTTCTACGATTATGTGGGTGAACTCATCTCTTTGTTTAACTCATAAAATTTTGTAAAAATGTATACTGTCATCTTAAAACACATCCAGAAATTATATAGCATGTGTAACAGGTCAGAAACATCTCACCTTTAAGAAAATCTGGGTAACAGGACAGACCAGGAGCTGCGGGCGGCCTCTGTACTGAAAGATGGTTTTGATAGCATTCTGTGATGGCTCAGCGAAACCCTTTAACTCTTTATGGAATTAGAGTCCAGTGCAGACCAATGAGACTTCATGCTGTTGAAAGCCAATATTACCCCTCCCAACCTCACTCATATAAATAACCCTTGCTTTCAAGATTGTTTTTCTTATTTTATTGCTTATTTACTTTACTCAGTGTCCTAATGAGTTACTGCACTCTGAAAAGCATAAATCACTATAGGAGACAAAACATTCAACCAAAAACACACATAATGACTATATGGATGTGTTTTATGAGATGTGGGTTAGAGGCATTCAAAAGCGAAGGAAGCAAATTAAGTTTGCTTCCTTTCTTTTATTCAGCAAATGCTTTAGAGTATTTATCTTCATTATAAGCCTAAGCATCCTCTTGCATGTTGTGTTTCAAGCAGAGTATGTAGTCTTTTATCAGACACTTGTATTCAAAGTGATGAATCCTCTTGGAGTAACCTGGTTTTAGATGTCATGCTCAAGGGCATAATGTTAATGGCTTATGGATGAGGTTTTTCATTTGCTGTAAATATTTCAAACAATTGAGCCTTATTTAAATATAGGAGAATGTTTGAAATCCAGAAAAATTTCCATATATTATCAAGATAACATAATACAGGTAATGTGGCAGAGCTGAGGGAACACTATGTGCTAACATTTCAATAACCCTGAAATCTGAGGCCCCAATCAATCCATCACCCAGCTTATCACTGCAGCTACAGTCCAGTTATAAATCTTGAGGAATTCTGGACATATGGGTTTTAGGAATTTTGAGAAAGAGAAGTTGTATTACTTTGAGGAGACAGCATAAGCCTGAGAGGAAGAGGAACGAGGCAGTCTCTGTATGACTGATCTGTTGCCTGATACAGTTTCTGGTTAATGTCTTTAGCCCTTGTTTGCTCTTAATGCAACACTTTGGATAATTTTACACACAGATATCAGCTTTCTGCTTCACTCACATGTATATCACATGCAGCTAAATGCTAGTACTGGGTGAAACATAGCAGCATAGTCCTTTTGACTCCACCCAGATTTATTTCATTTTATTCGTCTAATATTTTTACACCAAATACACCAAAACATCAGTATGTTCATGTCGTTAACTACAGTATATAACTATAGCTGTAATAATAAAATGTGTTGCTTAACATTACTATGGGCATCATGTTAATTGATATTCATCCTAATGCCAACAAATGTATGTACAGCAGCTGTCTGTATTATATGGTCAGCTCATATTCCCTTTTTTTGGTTGTAAATAATTTATACATGTGGGAATACAGAAGTGAATTACTTCATTAACTGCCAAAACAGCCACTTGATATGCTTGCATGTGCTTGGTGGGATGTTCTCTGTGTAATGAATGAGAGTGTTAATTGAGTGTGACTTGTTTATAGCTGTAGTTTACTGTGTTAAAAGTGATGACTGTTGATAGCAGTACTCAGTGGCTGTAACTGAATAAGGTGTGTATGTGGTGAACACAGCAGAGAAGAGCTTAGAAAGGCTGCACTGCAGAATTTAATGCTTTGAGATTAAATATTGTAAACCAGCTTTTTGTCCAGGGTTTCATTTACGCATGTCAAAGTAACATATGTAAAACATGGTTTATCATCTGCTCAATGTGTTGACCATCAAACAATGCTTGGACAATCACTTTTTAAGACAGTCTCACCCTGTACTCTATATTTCCTAACAGAAGAGCACAGCAAGCCTGCTATCATGTCTGAGTAAGTCTGTAAACACATCTTCAACTGGAAATTTCACATATACAGTTTAAAAGTGTAGAAATATGTTATTTCTCTCCTAAAATCCTAACAGAAAAAAGATGACCTCAAGCCGTCGGCATCATCTCAAGGTAAACATGAGCATTTGAGTCTGTTTGGTTTGTGTTTACTCTAGAGATGTGTGTTTTGTTGCATGTGTCTTTTCCCCATTGTTTGTTCTAGAGTTTGATACTGGGTATAGCCAAGGACCTGCTGGCGGCTGAGGAAAAGCAGACAGAGGAGGAAAGAGTTCGCTATATGGAGGAGAAATGTCCTCCTCTGTCTCTGCCTGGCTCACTGCAGGAATTACAGGTACACATGCATGAAGTCTTTTATTATTATTGCAGTATTTTACTCTGTTATGAAATGTTTTCTCCACTGTGGTCAGGACCTGTGCAAAGAGCTTCATCAGAAGATTGATGTGGTGGATGAGGAGAGATATGACCTGTCTGTTAAACTGGCCAAGAGCGAAAAAGAGGTTTTAAATGCATGGATTCTGTTCTCATCGTTTATCTTTCATGGGTTTGACTTTCAGCAAATAACACTGCATGTTTTTCTAGATTGAGGATCTGAAGATAAAGGTTCAGGACCTGATAGGTAAATTCAAGAAACCCGCTCTTAAGAAAGTGCGTATGTCTGCTGATGCCATGCTGCAGGCCCTGCTGGGCTCCAACCACAAAGTGTCCCTGGATCTTGGACAATCACTTTTTAAGACAGTCTCACCCTGTACTCTATATTTCCTAACAGAAGAGCACAGCAAGCCTGCTATCATGTCTGAGTAAGTCTGTAAACACATCTTCAACTGGAAATTTCACATATACAGTTTAAAAGTGTAGAAATATGTTATTTCTCTCCTAAAATCCTAACAGAAAAAAGATGACCTCAAGCCGTCGGCATCATCTCAAGGTAAACATGAGCATTTGAGTCTGTTTGGTTTGTGTTTACTCTAGAGATGTGTGTTTTGTTGCATGTGTCTTTTCCCCATTGTTTGTTCTAGAGTTTGATACTGGGTATAGCCAAGGACCTGCTGGCGGCTGAGGAAAAGCAGACAGAGGAGGAAAGAGTTCGCTATATGGAGGAGAAATGTCCTCCTCTGTCTCTGCCTGGCTCACTGCAGGAATTACAGGTACACATGCATGAAGTCTTTTATTATTATTGCAGTATTTTACTCTGTTATGAAATGTTTTCTCCACTGTGGTCAGGACCTGTGCAAAGAGCTTCATCAGAAGATTGATGTGGTGGATGAGGAGAGATATGACCTGTCTGTTAAACTGGCCAAGAGCGAAAAAGAGGTTTTAAATGCATGGATTCTGTTCTCATCGTTTATCTTTCATGGGTTTGACTTTCAGCAAATAACACTGCATGTTTTTCTAGATTGAGGATCTGAAGATAAAGGTTCAGGACCTGATAGGTAAATTCAAGAAACCCGCTCTTAAGAAAGTGCGTATGTCTGCTGATGCCATGCTGCAGGCCCTGCTGGGCTCCAAACACAAAGTGTCCCTGGATCTGAGAGCCAACCTCAAACAGGTCAAGAAAGAGGTCAAGGAGGAGGTGAGGGCACACTACAGCAATAAAGAAACCCATACCTGCCAAAGTAATTATTTCAAATATAATTTTTGATCTTGAAATTCTTATTTTAGGAGAAGGAGGCAGTGGGAGACTGGCGTAAGAATATAGAGGATAAGGCTGGCATGGGCGGCAGGAAGAAGATGTTTGAATCCGAGGCTTAATCAGGCAGCCATTTTTCTTGTGGAGTTGATTTCTGATGGACTTTCTGTTGTTGCTGTTGTACAGCTCGCTGTCAAAATGTGCTTTCACATCCAAACTACACATCAAACAAACCAACATTAACTAAGCTAATCATAATATTCAGAATGTCATGTACTACATGAGTGATCCATGAACTCACCTTAACAAATAAAAGCAGTAAAAGAAACTCCGTCATCTGATCTGATCATTCCTCATATTCCCAGTTCCTTTGATTCCTCTCATCATTCCTCATTCCTCTTCACATTTCCTTATTTTCTTACCCTACTAGCAAAAAGTCATCCTCATGTAATTTATCCTTTCTCTCTTTATCTTCACTCACTAAAAGATTTGATATATAGTAAGTAAGTGTATTTACTTGTCTCATTAGTGTGTAGTGCAGTTGTCCTTGCTAGGAAACGCTTGTTTTGTTAACTGTGTGGAGACGTGCTGATATCACGTTTGGTCTCGTTCTGTATCGCGTATCTTGTCAGTGTCTGCGCTTGCTTGGCCATTTGAAGTTTTAGCTTTTAGTTTTGGATCTGTTTTTAGTTGTTTTAATACCACAATTGATTGCTTCTGTTGTTCTCATTTGTAAGTCGCTTTGGATAAAAACGTCTGATAAATGACTAAATAAATAAAAAAATAAATAAAATATATGCTACATTAAATTTATATTTTTTCAGCAGTCATTTTTACATCATAACTTAATCATGGTGCTTATTGCTGAATGAGACCAGGCTGAGCAAGCAGAGATTAAGACTGTTCTGCTGCTTAACCTAAGCTCTTCCCATTTTTCCTTCCCTATATTTATGCTAATGAGCATCAAATGTACTGAACTTACTTCTCTGTATTTTTTGTTAATAAGGGGAGATCTGTGGATGAAATTAAGCATGTGTGTATGTATTCTATGTTTATATCATGAATCTAAGAAGTGCTATTATGTGAAATGGTTACAGGATTCTGATTACCCAGTAATGAAGAACAGAAGAGGAGCCTCTGGGATGTGACTGAGAGGACAGTTGGTAAGTGACTTGAACAAATATGTGTGTACTTGTTTAGTTATACATGTGAGGCCCAAATGTCCTTACTTATACGGTGAAATATCATGACGACCGACTTGTGAGAACATTTTACGAGGCTCATGTGGCTATCAAACTCATGTTTTCAGGCTGAACTACCACCTTTGAACGTACGATGGCCCAATTTTTTTTTTTTTTTTGCCAATGTTAATTATGTCTTTTTTGCTTTCTTGAACAGATATTGTCTTCATCCTGGTTAAATAAAGGTTACTTACTAACTAACTAAAGTTAAACTGATACAGAAAAGTCTCTTGATGGGAGATGTCTCAAGTTCAACACTCAAGTGTTTGTCACTTCATAAATGTATAAATATAGATGACATGTCACTAAATAACTATGTGTGCATACACAGTACTGGTTAAAAAAAGAAAGTCTGTATCAGAGTCGGGTCATATACTAACAATATTGCAGTATTCCACTGTATTGCATAGATAGATGGGTAACTTCAATTGTGAGTACTGAACCAAATACGAGACTACGCAATACCTTCTTTCCTGTGCAAGTGAGATACAAACACACACACACACACTGGGTTTCCATGTTTTATTGGGATGTTCCATATAGAAGTACTGTTTTTCATACTGTACAAACTACATGTTTCTGCATTCAGTTACACTTGACCGATGCTGAAGGACCATCTGCTCAACTCCCAAGAGTCTGATGTGACACAGGTCAACTGAAGTAACAATAGTTCAAAAGGACAGTTAAGAGACATCTTTTCCTGCAGTGATGCAATGGCAAATGTGCTGCTGATGTTTTACACTATTTGTTTAGTATTACAACAAGTTTTCATAACCAAAACATAAATGTTACTTAAAGGGTTAGTTCACCCAAAAATGAAAATTAGCAGATAAATTACTCACCCTCAAGTAATCCTAGGTGTATATGACTTTCTTCTTTCAGACGAATCCAGTCGGAATTATATTAAAAATTGTCTTTGATCTTTCAAGTTGTTTAATGCCACTCAATGGGTGTTGCATGCATCAGTCCAAAAGAAGTTAAATAAAAAGTGCCCATCCATAAAATAAAGTGTCTCACACAGCTCCGGGGGGTGAGCAAAGGCCTCCTGTAGCGAATCGATGCGTTTTTGTAAGAAAAATATCCATATTCAAAAACGTAATAATCACTTTAATGTAGCTTGCACCAACAGTTGTACACGGAAGCAGCTCCGGGAGCTTGACGTATGAGGTCAGCGTTGCGCATGCGTCGGTGAGTTTTGTGAAAACCAACGTTTGTTAACAGGAGCAAAGGAAGCCAAGTTTCCTTACTTTAGCAAAGGAAAACCAGTCTCCTCTTGGCTTATATCGAAATCCTCCGACATTCTTCTTTACAAATCCTCGTTTTGTACTTCTAATTAGTGACCGTTGTTTTGTTTTGATCTCTTCCCTGCGCTTCCGCATTTGTCACTTCTGAGCGGCGCATGCGCAGCGCTGAACTCATACGTCATCCGCTCGGAGCTAATTCTGTTAACAACAGTGAGCGCAAGCTAGAATAAAGTGATTATTACGTTTTGAATATGGATATTTTTCTTACAAAAACGCATCAATTCGCTACAGAAATATACACCTAGGATGACTTGAGGGTGAGTAATTTATGGGCTAATTTTCATTTATGGGTGAACCAACCCATTAAGAAAAACCTACACATCCATCAAATCATGTCAATAATTTCATGTATTTCATGTACCCTGTCCAGATACCAAAAGATGTCTGTCGCCCTCATGTGGCTGTCAGAGCAAAAGCAACAATTTTAATGGAAATAATCAGCTAAACCAGTGGTTTTCAATCCTGGTCCTGTTGACCCACGGCTCTACACATCTCTCTTATCTGACACACTCAATTCAGTACATGGAGTCTCTCCTAACGAACTGATAATCTGAATCAGGTGTGTTAAAAAAGGGAGACATGCAAAATGTGCAGAGCGATGGGTCCCTAGGACCAAGATTGAAGACCACTGCACTAAACTATGTTCCCCAGAGGAGAGGAGAGGAGAGGAGAGGAGAGAGAAATGATCACGTACTTCATTACTACATAGAAATTCTTTGGAGAAACCCAGAAGAGTAAAAAGATATAAAGGCGATCATATACTCAAACTGTTGTATGTAATTACAAAAGGTCAACATGTTTTGAAATTAACTGCATCTTTTCTGTAGTCAGGATTTTAAGGTTTGTGTTTATACAGAAATTAAAAAATCATTTAGCCTGAGAAATATTCACTTGATTAAAAAGTGTGGAAACAAGCTCCAGTCTTCATTTTACTGGCCTTAACAATCAGATGGTCTGAAATGGTTTTCCAGACTATTCAACATTCATTCTAGGGATGCAGGGAAATATTATCAGCTTTATTATTCAAAAGTTTAGTTATTATTTTCATTGAAAGCAAATGTAGAGTTCTCTTGTCAATTAGTTCTTGCAGTCTCTTGGCATTATAGATTTTCTTTGCATTATAGATGTTTAAAAACAATATAACTAACTAAAACTAATATGGGAGGTAAGTTAACCACTATCTTGGGATAAAGTGCCTTATTAAATGTAATTAAATAATCTATTTATTTATTTATTTTCTTACAAAAATAATTCAGGTGTTTTATAAGTTGTTGTTTTTTTTGCCCTTACATAGCCTATAGCGAAACAGAAACAAATTTGTTATTTATTATTTATTTAGTCATACATTTCTTTTTAAGTAATCATGACAGTCATTACTTTGTGTAATTTTTGTAATTTACTTGATTTACATGTATTATTAGATATGAATGATACAATGGACAACAATTGAAATTACATTTAATATTTGCGACAAACCGCTCTGCTTGAGCCCTTATTATGGAAGGCGACTCGAGGTAGGTCATTTGGTTCAAAAACATTTTTTTGTTATGCTGGTTGAAAGTCACTTCATATCCCGATAGCAATCACTAGGTTAAAGGTGCACAATATTTGAAAAACGCTTTTGACTACCGTGTCGGACTGAGTCCCAAAACACACTCGCTGCCAATTGACTTGCCCTGCGTTCCATTCAGAAGGGCTCATCCCTATGTCCTAATCCCTTCAAAGGGTTTACCCTCCGGAGTGAGACCTTAGAAGGGATGAAGGGTGTAGGGGTAAAAAAAACTCTTTTTTTGGAATGCACTTCTGTGTCATCTTAACTAGACGATCAAGGAGGCACCTTCGTCATACATTTTGTACGCTTTTGACCCCCATTCGTCTTTTACGTTAAATAAAATTTATATTTGTATATGAAATGTAATGTAATGTAATGTAATATGCATTTGTAATGTATATTGTGTCTATGTACAGTATTTGAAACATTTGAATGGACTGATAAAAGTAGCTGTAAAGTATTTTTGTTGAAGTACAATGACATTTTAACCATAATAATGTACCAAATCTAACTCGTAAAAATATTACAGTAGTATAGAAAAATACTATACATACATTTATAAGCGAAGTTGAACTCTGTGACGCCAAACAAGTTCCCTGTGCAAAAGGATCATGGGGCCCGAAGTGTCCATCAGTTGTACCCTTCGAAATCCTTCATTCCGAAGGGCCCTTTGAAGTGGCCAGTTTTGAGCACTTCGGTTTGGAACGACCCTTCAATATGGCGGCCATGATTGTTTTCACTCCGAAGTGCCCTTCGGAGGGCGATGTATCCCGTTTGGAACCACTGATCTTTTTTTTTATTTTTTCTTCTTTTTTTTTTTATCAATGCTCAAAAATCAAGAACAGTACACAAAAAATAATACAACCATCAACACAAAAATGATAAACAATAATAACAAAAAATAAAGTAAAAACAAATAAAGAAGAAGAAGAAGATGAAAAAAAAAGAAAAAGGGGAAGAAAGATGTCTGAAAGAAAGAGAGGTCTGGAGTTTGAATATTTGCATCTATGGATGTGAAATTTTGAGATTCACTACATGAAACTGTTTCCTATTAGATTGTTCATACTCAATAAAACCCAATACTACGTCCTTCCAAAACAGAATACATTCATCATGTGTTACTCCTAATGAAACTTAAAACATCTTGCCAAAAGTTCTTAGTAAATGGACAGTTCCAAAAGAGATGAACAACAGTGGAACCACTGATCTATATAATAGACAACCGGATTGCTCATGACGTCATAAAAGTGA